GATGAGACTTCCCCTATTGCCGAGACCACTCAGTCTGAGTAATTCTAAACTCATTAGTGGGAGTCCGATTTGTTTCATTTCACTTAACTATTTCACTCCTGATCGGTTATTCGCTCCCTATTTTCACTCAGAATGTAGTTTTGTGTTTTCAAGTCGAAGCGCTTTTCGACTGTAACTGGTGATGGCTAGAAATTGATGGGAGTACGGATCATGTAAGCGGCTCCTTTCTTTGGGGAGAGTACATGATTAACTCGTAGTCCACTGGTTCATCGTCGGGGTTGAACATCTCTATGGAATCGACCATCTTGGATCGAGTTGTACATTGCACCGATGGGCTGTCAGAATTTTATTCAACGTGTATAATCTAGTAGAGTAGACCATAATTAACTGTCCTGCTCGACGCTGATTTGAGTCTAACTGTCGGGCAAAATTTTCGTTCTGATTGAATGTGAGAATAACGAGCTCACACCTGCAGCTGATAACTATCAGGTATACAATATCCAAAGTCGATGTTATTTTCATGTGTTGCACCTAGCACTCTTTGAAGTCCCAGCGACATTGACAAGGAGATCAACGGAACCTCCTGAATTGTAGGGTGCAGCCTAAAGAACAGAGAATTGGTAGGCCATGAGATCAACGGAACCTCCTGAATTGTAGGGTGCAGCCTAAAGAACAGAGAATTGGTAGGCCATGAGCTACATCCCTCTTATATCTTAATGCTGACCACATCAGGTCGCTTCGCCGAACTGAGCACTGCGAATGACTCACCCAGGATGGGTTACTCGTAGTGGCTAGCATTCACTCCAGCTCCGTTGACAATGTTGGCTCACCGCGACTAGTGCGCATGCGAAAGGGGATATCGTCTTCGAGGCTACTGAGTCAATCAACACGGTCGCTCTAGGGGAAAGGTAATCATCAACGCTCTGATGGTGAACACCTCGCGAATAGAAACTATATCAATGGCAGTTTATGACTCTACCGATATTTTAGCCACATGCTATCGAGCCGTTGTCGCTTTTGTGTATTCTATTATGCTTGTCGTATAGTTAGACTATTCGGTTGCTCCATGACATCGCGAAGGGAACAGCACACACAGATGTGTACGGCGCCGAGTAGCTATGCTATAGCAACAACTCATTCAAGCCATACGTACAATAATTATATTGTCAACAAATGTTGAATAGGTTTAAGGAAAGACTTCCAACATTCTTCGCTCATGCAACATTCTTCATCTGTTAGATTTCTTACCCTAGTTTGCGATATATTTAATGCGTTCCTTCATTCTCTCACTCTCTACCTTCGTTGCAGCCCTGTCTTTGGTGTTCGCCACTGAAGATGCATGTGCTCAGATGTGTTCCTATGTAGAAGGCTGTGCTAAGTCGAAGTACGATTCCTACTGCAAGACCTGGCAGTCTCCTTCTGTCTGCTTCGGTCTGATCAAGAAATCCGATGGTTCGATTTGCTTCGAGCCCACTGATGCTGATTGTGTTGGAGAGTCTATCGCCTGTGGCGAACAGCCCACTGCCGTCCCTGGCACATCAACCATGGAGAGTACCACAGAAGTACCTGTGACTACCACTGCTAGCGTCCAGTCTTCTGTTGCCTCTACTTCATCAGCCGATGAGACTTCCCCCGCTCTCGAGACCACTCAGTCTGAGTAATTCTAAACTAATGAGCGGGAAACTTTCACTTCTGTCCGAGCAAGGTTTGCTCCACATTTTCACATACACTACTCTTGTGTTGAAAGTTAACTTAGTCAATTGCAGACTACAACTTTTGATTGTTGCTGAGCATGTGTGGAGATCACTTACAGTGCACGAACTAGTGTGATGATGTTACCTTGAATAAATGCATCACCGAACCAACAACCGTCGTTGTCGATCAGTTCAGGGCAATCCTTAAAGGCTACAAGTCTACCACTCAATTGGATCTCGAGTTGCGACGACAGGAAAGGAATACAGACCATGTAGAATACTATTCCGCTTCGGATAAGACGAATGCTGTTGGCCGGGGTGGCTATGCCATAACTCAAAGATATGCCTCAGTGTTACTTCACTACTCAATTGGAGGTCGAGCTGTGACAACAGCGGAGGGATATGCACCGTGTAAGAGGTCATTTCGAGTTCAGTAAGATCAATTCTGCTCGACGGGGCGGCTATGCCATAACCCAAAGATATGCCTTACTGGTACTTCACTACTCAATTGGAGATCGACCTCTGACAATAGGAGAGGAAAATACACCGTGTGAAAGGTTATTTCGATTTCAGTAAGATCAATTCTGCTCGACGGGGCGGCTATGCCATAACCCAAAGATATGCCTTAGTGTTACTTCACTACTCAATTGGAGATCGACCTCTGACAATAGGGGAGGAGTATGCACCGTGTAAAAGGTTATTTAGATTTCAGTAAGATCAATTCTGATCGACGGGGCAGCTATGCCATAACTCAAAGGTATGCCTTAGTGTTACTTCACTACTCAATTGGAGATCGACCTGTCGCAATAAGGGGGAATATGCACCGTGTAGAAGGTTATTTCGATTTCAGTATGATCAATTCTGTTCGACGGGGCAGCTATGCCATAACCCAAAGATATGATCTCTGGCGTGTATCCAGTGGGAGCTCGACATTGGGAATGGGCAC